GGCCTTTGAACTTGTGCTCGGAATGCGTGGTGACTTTGTGATCCACCCTGAGCTTTGCTTTGCTTTGCTTGACTGGTCTTGTGACCCCTTGTTCTCCCCCACTTTGCCTATGGGGGTGTGTCAGAACATATAGCTTACTTGTTTCTGTAGGCTATAGTGGGGTATCCCATAGGGGGTACAACCCAAATCAGGGTTTCCTATTTGTACTCACTTCGTTCATAGTCATTCTCATTCTCGTTCATATCTTCTCACCATGCCCCTTCTTAGGGAACCCCTTCACACCCTCCTCCACCAAGTAGCGCACCGACTTCACCCATACTCACATGGGAGCGTTGCACTTGCTGACGAACAACAAGGCATCCAGTAAAGTGAAGACGCGCAGCTTATCCTCGTCGCATGCTGCTCGGTGCTGGTCGATTGTCAGAATGTTGTATTTGTCTAGCCTGCAGTGGGGTACTCTATAGCGAGTACAGCCCATTTTAGGGTTTCCTATATGTACTCAACTACCTGCTAGTGCAACTGCTCTTTCCTGTTTCTACTTTCTAGCTACTGTTTTTATATGCTATCAGAGTGGTTACGCTCCTGGCCTATGGGCCCACCGTTAGCTTCCGCGGTTGTTCTGTCTGTCGCGCACCCCATGGCGTGCGACGTTTTTTCTTCCCACCACGCGCTCGGGGCGCATGGCAATTTTCAGCCCGCCGCGCGCTTGGGGCGCATGGCGGTTTTCTGCCCGCCGTGCACCCCGAGGCGTGCGGCGGTTTCCTGACCCGTCGACCAGCGCGTCGCCCCCCGCCGTTCGTCGAAGCGCCCCCGGAGACTTGCGCGTCGCCCCCCGTCACCCGTCGAAGCGCCCCTGGGACCCGCGTGCGGCCCGTACAGCTTGCGCGCGGCCCGTACGACCCGCGCCAGGCCCGCGCGCGGCCCGTACGGCCTGCGCCAGGCCCGCGCGCGGCCCGTACGACTTGCGCCAGGCCCGCGCGCGATCCATACAGCTTGCGCGCCGGCCGTACGGCCTGCGCCAGGCCCATGCGCGGCCCGTTTAGCGTGCACCTGCTCCCGCCCCGTGCTGCCTGTGTTAAGGTTTCGGGGTGGCTACTATGGGGGTGGCGGGTGTATGAGTCTTACCCTGCTCCTCCTCCTCCTCCATCTCCTACTGCTGCAGCTACCGCTGAGGGGGGTGGGTGTGTGGGAGCCGAGGGAGTGGCGCTAGGGGGGTGTCGTGGGAGTGGAGCTAGGGGTTCAGCAAGGGGTGTGTGAAAGGGGTGTGGGACAGTTGGGGGTAGTTGAGTGGAGGCAGCAGTCTTGTCGTCCGCAACCCAAGTAGTCCGGAGGCTACAATCTCTGGTAGTCGCCAGTCCCCCGTGGGTCAGTTGGCCCAGCCGCTCGGCGTAGCCGCGGAGCCAACTCCTGAAGTCCGGACCATTGCTTCGGTAGCCACTGAGCCAGCCGCTACAGTGTGTCGGCAACTTCAGCCGTTGCCTCCCATCTTCTCGCCCCCACAGTCTCTCCTCCTCCTCACTTGCCATCCATGATAGCCTCTAGCTTTGCTTATCATTGTGTGTAAGAACATTATGCTTGTCTAGCCTGCAGTGGGGTACTGAATAGTGCGTACAGCCTTTTAGAGTTTCTTATTTGTACCAAACTGCTTATTAGTCAAACCCTCTTTTGCCTATTCTCTCTTGTCTAGCTAGCTAAACCCTAGCTATGGCTCCTGCATTCTAGCTGTTATTCTGACATTGTGAACTATTGCTATGCTTGCTTATTGTGCTGATTACACCCCACTTTGGCTATGGGGGTGTTTCAAAATGTTGTATTTGTCTAGCCTGCAGTGGGGTACTCTATAGCGAGTACAGCCCAATTTAAGGTTTCCTATATGTACTCAACTGCCTGCTAGTGCAACCGCTCTTTCCTGATTCTACTTTCTGGCTACTGTTTTTGATATCGATGAGTGGCTGATTGCTGCCGCAATCGATAAGCGCGGTGAACTTGGCCATCGCAGACTTGTGTTTTTGCGTTCCAGCATGTTTAGCTTAGTTTGCACGTCTATGGCCCCTTTGCTGTGCCTACCGCACTTGCCTACAACACCAGCACGGGTTGAACATACATTCCATTTAACCGCAGGCAAACCGTTGGAGGTTTTGGTTGGAACCAGCCAAGGAAACCGACTTGACCACGTTGACTTAATCTCCTCATGAGCATCCTCGTACGCATCTTCAATCAGCTATGAGAGGTTGAGTTTCCATTGCGGTTTTTTTCATCATTAGACGGCCCATCCTTGTTGTCGACAACAGTGGTTGCAAAAGATTTATGAAGCTAAGGGTCTGTTGCATCAACCGTACATTTCGTGCCACATCCTAGGAAGCGGGAGTCTCTGTGATCATATGCGCAGCAGACCCAATAGTTGGCTTGGGGGCATTTCATCCATAGAATCGGGAACGTTCGGCTTGTGCGGAAATAGAGACGATCTCCAAATTGAGTTGGGAAGACGATTTGTAGAGAGGGGGGGGGGGGGATTGAATAAAAGCGTTGGAGAAGATGGGACCCTTTTAGATCAAGAAAGACCAACTAGCGATGCGCTGCTGTGTGCAGTCTCGTGTAGCTGCACAATGCTGTACAGTGATTCAGATTCAAGTCGAGGGAAAGGGTCATGTCAAATGCTGCTTACTCAACCAATCCGCAAATCATGTTTGTTTGTGCTGTTCCCAACGCGGAGATAACCATGACGCAAGACGTCCGATCCCCCTAAAAAATGACTGTATTTGCTGCACTTACGTGATTGATAGCACCACAACGTAATTCCACCAATAATAATGGCAACCATCGCACTTGCAAAATTAGCGCGGGTTCACGTTTTTTGTTTGACGGATCAGGGTACACTTTAAGAAAGAAAAAATAAGCTGAGCTTTTAGCATCACCCATAAAAAAAAACCTCAAATATCCGGGTTTTTATGGCGATGACCGATGCATGCAGAAACAATTGACATGGAAATGGCGAAAATGGTCTGTAACGGGTTCCCTCGCCGCATAGCTGAGTTTCGCTGCAATTGAATGTACCACTTAGAGTACATGACCAGCTAGGAGTTTTCGTGTTCCTTTGTATGTCTATGTAATGCAATAGCTATAACAATTTTAGTACCGGTAATTCATATTCACTATGGTCTCTAATCACTTACTTCCGCTGCAATATCTCCATGCGATCAACCTTGACGATCCTGGCTTGGGATTATAACAGCATATGCCGATCCTACCTACTCGATTTTTAGTTCATGAATCCCCAAGCGTTCGTCGAATACGTATACACGCGAGGGGCTATGGAAACTTATGTCATGGGTTGATGTTGCTGAACTTTCTATCTACAGTGCATTGACATTTTTTTTGACTTTATTTTTCTCCTCTACTCGCCTGAGGACTTCAAAACAATACTTTATGTAATCCGGAAATAGTATTCAGGTAAACCAAAAGTATTTGTGTACGGTTTTACCTGTTGTAGCTATATTGAGGGACATGATAATGGCTCAGTTATGGTGTACACAAATAATGAATAATCAAGCGGCTCAGGAAATCTCCCAGTCGCACCCATTACTACACGTCAGAACCCTCGACATCCACGTCCATTCATGTCATCACAGCAGCCCGTCCCACGCGAATGTCCAGAGAAACTGGCCTTCCTCGAATCACAACGGCAGAGCTCTTTGGCGCCGATCGAGGATCTGGCGTGTGCTTCCACGTCAGTAGCAATATTCCTGACGTATGCGAAGGAAGAGTGGATAGGGTTTCTGATTCCGCGTTTCCACAAGGGTCTCATGGGTCCAAGTGCGTTCCCATTTTGGCACCCTAGCATGTTCCCATCGTTTTTCCAGCTGTGGTTCCCCTGGTCTCTGCAGTTTGGAAACAAGGCTTGGCAATACAGAAGAGCGCAGCGACACTACATTCCTGCCCTCAAATGTTTTGATCCTATTACTTTCACCGACCACCGCTGGCTGGTGTGTCACATATCTCTGAGCTAGCCTAGTTTCATGGATAAGAAAGTAATTTCTCTGCTTGCAACCTTACCCGTAAATCACTCTCGAGTGTTAAGTCTAGTGTGGGTGACTAGCCCACGCAGTCTGATCTGAAAGTATAGCACGTGTGAGAAGGGCCATGGGTTCATCCTGCCAGTGCCCTTCTCCCGTGCATGAAGATGCGCTTCTAGAGAGTGCTCAAGCCAACCCCTTTACTGTGCCACTGGTTACAGGTAGCTCGGGCAGCATGTGCAGAGTACGCCATTGGCTACACGGGTTCAACCGAAAAAAATCCTCCCACTGCACTGCGTCACGCACACCTTTTCCTTCCCCAATCTCCTCCCTGCTGCAACATTATTTCTTCTCTCCAGCAGATCTTTCTCCCACAATAACTGCTTGCACCCTCTTCAAACCCACTAAAACGCATTGCATTGCTTTGTATCCCATGATCCACACCACTGCCGTCATCCCATGTCATGCTTCATCAACATGGCCAGCCGCAACTCAGCTGTTTCCATGATTCAATCTGCTACGTTCCTTGCTTCATCATTCACCTTTCCTGACCAGGCCAGCTCGGCTGCAGCCGTAGGATTCGTCATGCAGTGACCGATTCACCGTCGATCTTCATAACGCATTGTTCTCCCTTCCGTTTCCACCCCACACTCACTGGTCTTCCCTTCCACTTAGCCCTCTGAGAAAGAACAGAGCCTCACCTTATCAGCATCCCTGGTCAATCGTTCACAGCTCTTTTCGCCATATTGGCGAGCCTTCTTCCATCGTTCAGAAGAGCCTCACCTTATCTACACTCCACCCGGTCGTCCCGATCAGCCGTCCTGGTCCGCGGGAATTCGACTCTTGTAATTTGACGCAGTGTCGCAGCGGCGACCAAATTTGACCTAACTTGTCACGCCGGAGCTCCTGATTCGTGATTCGTAATTTCACATATCGTCCTGATCAATGGCGTCGCTTCTCGCAGCGGCCTTGCCGTCTCTGCAGTGCATGTCCAGCACGCGAGTCTCATCCGCTGACGCATTCGAATCGCACGGCCCCACGGTCCTCTCTTCTGCCGCACTCGGCCTAACGTCGGGTTCAGGCTCGGGGGCCAGCGCCGCACTGGCTGCAGCTTCGGCATCAGGCTCAGGAGCAGGTTCGGTGAAGCTGATTTCCGTGGTCGGCGAGGCTGGTAACCTGGTTTCGCAGGGAATCGCGTGTGCGCATGGCGACGGGAGGGGCGGGAAGCGCGCCAAGTACATGGAGAAGCATCAAGCGGAGAAGCATTTCGCGGAGAAGCATCACACGGGCGGGATCAGCTTCCAGGTGCGGTTCAGACCTTCCATGTTCGGTACGGCAGCTTCAGGCTCGGTACAACAGCTGACAGGCTCGGTAAATTAGCTCCCATCCGCGCATACCAAGGAAACGTCAGTGCTACCTCGAAGCTGGTGCAGGATCCAAGAACGTAGGTACCGAGCAGAATGCCCTTTCTCGTGCTGCCAGTGGCCGAGCACATTGCCATTTACCGAGCCTGTTCTGCGGTTCTGGCGGCAGCACGAGGCGGGTAGGCGGGATGGGTCCGTCGGGCTGTCGTGACGCGATCGGAGGTGTGATCACGCCGACCGGGGTGAAGCACGCCTGGATCCGCATTTTCTGGATCGTCCATGCGCCATGGCGTAGCCGCCCGCGCCATGGCTGCACACACAGAGCATGATACACAAAGGAAGCTCATTTTCAGCCGCTCATACCGCCACCGCTTCCATTTTAGAGTCGCGTTCCACCCCCCGTCGTCCGCTTCACATCCTTGTCTCATTGGTTTCAGGGTCATCCCAAACCCAGTGTGTGGCCATTCCTTTGCTTCAGCCCTAATCCACTCTCAACCACCTCGTACGCCTGACATTCATGCCTCGTCATTCTCAGGGTCATCTCTGACCAGTTTGCGGTCATCCCTAATCCATTGATTAGCCCTAATCCCTTCTCAACCCCTCTCCTCCGATCTACATACACATTTCCCCAACTCGCATGTAACGCCTGTCTGCTTTCCGTCGCAATCGTTTTCTCCTCGCGCCTCGTCTGGTTCTCGCCGGAGTCGATTGTTGTTCGACTGTCACCATTCGTTTCTCTGCAACTCTCCTCCGCCACGCGTTCCCCTTCAACCCCCCTTCCGCTCAGATCGATTCCGCCGTCACCCCTTCCGCCCCGCCTGCGCCCATGGCGCCTCCGCCTGACCGCATCTCCGCCAAACACGCCGCAAAGCCCGCCGCTTCTGGCGGTGGTTCGGTGCATGTTTCTCTCGATCGCGCCACCGCGCCGCATGCTTCAACGCCGGGGGAGCCGGTGGCTGCGACGCTTGCGGACTGTCGCCCCCCGTACAGTCACATCCCACATTGTCACAATGAAGGCAGCGGGGAGGATCAGCTGCCCCCGTTAGTGTCACGCGAGGCTGTCGCGGAGGCGAGCCCGCTCGGGCTGACGCTTCGCAAGACGCCGTCGCTGGTGGAGTTCATTTCGCACAGACTGTCGGAGGGCGCTGGCGACACTACTGGCGACGCTCCTGGCGACGCTGCCGACGACGGAGCGGGCGACGGTTCTGGCGACATGGATATGATAGAAGAGGCGCGGACGGGCGTACCGAGCGGCGGAGAAGGAGGAGAACCCGCGGGGCCGGCGCACACGAAGCGCGGAAGCGACGCGCAGCGGACGGCACGCGGGATGGGCGGAGGGGGGATGAACAGCAGCAGCAGCAGTAGCAGCAGCGAGGCGGAACTGGACGGCAGGGGAATGGCGCAGGGCAACAGCGCTCGGGGGAATGGAATCCGCGAGCGGGACGGGCCTGTCCGCCCGGGTAGCGCTCCGGCGCACCAGCGCGCGCAGGACCAGGGGCGCGCGCAGGGCAAGGGAATCCCGGCGCTAGTGGCGTTCGGCGGAGGTGCAACCGCGGTGGACGGGGCTTTCGCGTCCCCCGACGGCGCGTCCGCACTGATGGCGGAGGGCGCACTCGCGTCGTTCAGCGCGCCGTTCCCGGCACTGCCGGCGCCGGCGGCGGACAAGCTGAAGGCGTCCAACTTCCCCGCCACGCGCATGACCATCGGCTCCTGGGAGGTGCGCTCGGGGGATGGCTGTAGCGCGACTATAGCGCGGATGTGACGCGGATGTATCGCGGATGCAGCGCGGATGTAGCGCGGATGCAGCGCGGACGTAGTGGGTTTGAGGGGCTTGCAAGCCGGAATGCGTCACTTGAGGTGGCATGTCGTGAGTGAGTGAGCATTCCGCACGGGATACAAGGCGGCGCGATTCCACCCCGCGCATGGTGGCGCTCAATGCGGCCTCGAAATCCAGTCACCCCTGGACTGCTAAACCCTCTCTAAACCCCCGTCAACGTTGCCTTCCACATCGCATCCCTCGCCTCCTTTGCTCACGCCCTCACTCGCTCCCTCCCTCCAGTTCCTCCTCCATCCCCCGCCCCTTTTCCCGTGCCCTCCGTCCCCCCCCCCCCCCCCCTCCTGTCCTCCGTCCCTCCCCTCCCGGCCGTACAATAACGGCAGAGGCGCAGCAAGTACGAGGGCGACCTGGTGGCCAAGTGCTACTTCGCGAAGCGCAAGCTGGTGTGGGAGGTGCTGGAGGGCGGGCTCAAGAGCAAGATCGAGGTGCAGTGGGGCGACATCGCCACGCTGCACGCCTCCACCGCCAAGGGCCAGCCCGGCGTGCTCGAAATCGAGGTACGCGCGCACACAGAGAGGCGGGGGAGGATAGTGGGGCGGGCTCGGAGGGGCTCGGATAGAGGGGCGGGGCCACGTGGACGGGCGGGGGAGGGTAGAGGGCTGCGGGCCGATAGAGGGGCGGGGGCGGTGGAAAGACAAGTAGGACGACGCGGGCTCTATCTGTGTAGCCTCTCAGCTCACTGGTGGCACATTCCACGTTGTCGTCTTGCACCTCCTCTCTTCCTCTCTTCCCCCCCTCACTCCCTCGCTTCCTCACTCCCCTAATCCGTCTCTCCCACTCCCGCCCTCTGCCTCCCCCGTTTCCCCCCATCCCCCACCCCCCGTCTCCCCCTCCCCCCACCTTTCAACCCCAGGTGTCGCGTCCCCCCCAGTTTTTCAAGGAGATGAATCCACAGCCGCGCCGCCACACGCTCTGGCAGTCCACTCCTGACTTCACCGCCGGCCAGGCCAACTCCTTCAGGTGAACCACCAGGCGCCTCAGGTGAAACATCAGGCGCAGCAGCTGGGTTCAGGTGAAATCAGGAAGTGGTTTCAGGTGAATACTCACATCCTCACATCCTCACATAACCCCTATAAGCATGCAGCTGAGTGCGTATCATTGCTCCTCCATCTCCCCAGTGCTTTCCCCCCTCCGCCATTCTTTCCACCCCCCTTTCTTCCCTCTCTCACACCTTCCCTTCCCCGCATGTGCTGTGTGCAGGGCAGGCGGCACGTGGTGGAGTTCGCAGAGGGCGTGCTGAACAAGCACCTGCACAAGCCGCTTAAACGCCTAGCGCCTTTCCCCTTCCCTCCTCCCCGTGTGCCTCTCGTGCCCGTCTGCCCCTTGTGCCTCGCGTGCCCTCGTGCCCTCTCCCCAGGCGGCACGTGGTGGAGTTTGCAGAGGGAGTGCTGAACAAGCACCTGCACAAGCTGCTCGCCTCCGACCCGCGCCTCAGAGACCTCGCCCATGGCACCTCCGCACACCACACCCACCCCGGGCAGCACGGGCAGGGCGGGCAAGGCAGCGCGCACATGGGCATGCATGCGCGCACCCACGCGCACGCATACGGCAGAGACGTGCTGCAGAGCTCGCCTCACAAGGCACGCGTGGGAGCCATGGGAGCGATGGGAGTGGTGGGGGCAGGTGGGGCGATGGAGGGGGTGATGAGCTACGGCCACGGCAAGCCCACTGCCCCGCACGGTGCTCTGCCGTATGGCTCACCTGCCGCGCTTGCAGACCCGCTCCTGCCCCTCGCGCACGCCCACGGCCCTCCCCATGCACGCACGCATGGCAGTGTGTATCCCCGTTCTCACTCCCACGCCCACTCCCATGTGCATGCGGGTGCGGATGGGAGGGGGAGCAGTGTGGGCGAGGAGGGGGAGGTGGCAGGGCGGGGGAAGGCAAGGCAGGGAGCAGCACACGTGGCGCCACCCTACCCCATGCTGCCTGCGGGCTTCTTCCCGCCTCCGCCCCTGCCTCAGGTAGGCTCTCGTGTTTCCCTCTTCACTTCTCTCTTCTCCCTCAGGTAGGCACGCCATCTCTCTCCTCTTCTCTCTCCCTCTCCCGCTCCGTCTCCCGCTCCCTCTCCCGTTTCCTCTCCCTCTCCCTCTCTCTCTTCCTCTCTCTCTTCCTCTCCCTTTTCTCTCCCTTCCTTTCCTCTTCCCTACCCCCCTCTTCCTGCTCTGCTTCCCTTCCTCCCTCCGTTTCCCTCTTTTCCCTCTCTCCCTCTCGCCTCGCCCCACTCACCCGCTCTCATCTTTTCCGCCATTGTTCTCCTCCATTTGTACTCCTCTCTCCCTTTCTCCCCTCTCTCCCTTTCTCCCCTCTCGCCCTCTCTCCCCTCTCTCCCTCTCTCCCCTCTCTCCCTTTCTTCCCTCTCTCCCTCTCTCTCTCCCTCTCTCCACTCTCTCCCTCTCTCCCCTTCCTCTCTCTGTCATCAATCATCTCCACTCAACCCCCTCTCCCTTCACCCCCTGTCCTCCCCCCTGTCCTCCTCGCCGTGCCTACAGACCTTCTTCCCTCCGCCCCCCATCATGCCGCCCTTCCCCACGCACCACCTGCCACCACCCCCCTCAACGCCCTCATCACCAGCTTCAGCAGCGGCAGCGGCAGCGGTAGGGAGCAGAGCAGCAGCAGCAGCGCGTGCAGCAGCAGACCCCCGCTCGCCCCTCTCCGCGCCGTTCCCTCCCTTCCCGTACTTCCCCTCCCACCTCTACCCTCCTCCCCCATACCTTCCTGGTGGCTACATGAGCAACTCATTCGAGGGGGAGCAAGAGGAGGACGAGGAGGAGGAGGAGGAGGAAGAGGGGAACGAGGAGGGGGGAAGAGTGGCTGTGGAAAGGAATGAGAAGGGAGAGTGGGGAAAGGGTGTGAGGGGCGAGGGAGACGAAGGGGAAGAGGAAAAGGGCAGTGGAGGAAGGTGTAGCAGTGGAGGGGCGGCAGGTGTGGGAGGAAGGGGCGGGGGTGAGAAGCATGGGGGGAAGGGGCGCTCACCCATGGATCTGTCCTTTCCTTCACCTGCCGGTGAGTCCTGCTCTCATTCACGCCATGCCAGCTCCTTTTTCCCCAACTCATATCCTTTCCATGTCGTTCCGTGCTCTTGTATCGCTTCTCCCCCTTGCCTCTCGCCACGGCATGTGTCAGCTGGTTTCACGCACCTCTGCTCCACTCTCCTCCCTCATATCCCTCTCATATCCTCTCCACCCCCATTTGTATTTCCCCGCAATCCCCCACCAGCAGCGCACTACCCCTACCTGCCCCACCCGCCCATGTGGCCCGCCCACGTGGGCCTTCCCCCCGCTGCCTTCTGGCCGCCCTTCCCGCCTCCTCCGTACCCTGCCTTCCCTCCCCCCGCCCCTTCTGCCACTCCTCTTCCCCACATGCATCCCCATGCCGCACGCATGCACCCCATGCATGCTGCACCGCCCATGCACGCACATGCCATGCCCACTCCTGCCATGGCCCCCCACCACGCCTTGCTGCCACCAGCCCCGCACCCTGCACACTGCCACATCCCTACACCCATGGGTCCCACACACATGCACACAGACATGCACACGCCCACCCACATGCGCAGCAGCAGCTTGAGCAGCGGGCGGGCTTCTGTGCGGCGTGATTTAGGCGTGCAGAGCATGAGCAGCAATAGCAACACGGCCCTGCCGACCACCAGCATCAACACGAGCAGCAACAACAACAGGAGCAACAATTACAACGGTGACAGCAAGAGCAAGAACGGCAGCAAGAATGTCACGGGCAGCAACGGGTTCCCCAGCAGCAGCAACTGCAACATTCCCATCAGCAGCACCAGCAACAGCGGCATGGGGAGTGGTGGCCTGAGAGAAAGCTCTTCCCCGATCCCTTCGTCTTTTCTGGAGGAGGTGTCATCTATGTTCTGCGACCCACTCCCGTTTCACTAACCGCTCCACACCACACATTCGCCACATTCACATGTGTGATTTTCACTCCACATGGAAAGGTGCACGATTTTGCAGTGCAGGCTACCAGTACCCTACCATGGCTTGTCTTGTCTGCCTGCCTGTCCACACATTGTGGCTTGTCCTTTTGCCTTTGACCCAACTGCATGTTGATAAACCCGAAACCCTATAACCTAGACCTCTCCAATTTTCCCCAGTGACTGCCATGGTTCAAGAAAGCCGGCCAATGCCGGTCCTGTAGCAGTACCTGTGATAGCACCGTGTTGCCTGGATCAGTCCGAGCCATAATTTTGACAGCAGAAGCAATGGCGGAGCGTTTCTTTACCAGCCTCTTGGCATTTTGCTTCGCCAGCACTGCAGCTCCGAAGGACACATAACAAATGATGTTATAACTGAAGGATCGCAGTGGATAGGATACTGCTGCTAAGAGCGTGTTCCTATCCTCGTATTGTTGGGCTGAGGATTTCAGCCTTAGGATCTTTGCAGAGAATAGGCTAGTAGGTGCTAGAGTAGCACAGCGGAAGTCTTTTGAGTGAATGTACTTGTGCTGGTATGTGAGAACAAGTAATTGATTAAAGCAAAGAGCATACAGGAATATATAGGAAAGATAGATTACAAGAAGCGGTTATGTTTATCGAGACGCGTAACGCTTCGACTATCGAGGTGGTTACTGTTCACTGAAGCGTCGCTTGCTGTTACGTAACCTCCAGGCGGTTACAGCTCGCAACCTCCAGTTGCGGTTTGATGTGGTACGCGCCTTTTCGACTTCATACCCCTTTTGTTGTGCTTCAGTATCGGGTGAGGTTCGATACTACAGAAACGCACTAAGTCATGCGTTTATTTTCCCAACACTCCCCTTCGTTTCTGGAGTGTCGACGTGGTCAGCTTCGGTGACGTGGTCCAATCCGGTGAGCAGCATGCAGTACTCGAATTTCCCCTGTGGTAGCTTCTTGGTGAGATAATCTGCTGCCATCTCGGTGGTCGGGCAGTAATCCAGCTGGAGTTTTCCCTTCTCAATTTCGTCTTTCACGAAGAAGTATCGCAGTGCGATATGCTTGGTTCTGTTGGCGAAGCCATTCTTGTTCGCGATCCGTATCGCGGACTGGTTGTCGCAGAAAAGCGAGAAGCTGGGTACTTTCGCAATTTTCGCTTCTTCCAGCAGTTCGCGCAGGTACAGGCCCTCCTTGGTAGCAGTGCAGAGAGCAATATACTCTGCTTCAGCAGATGATAGTGCGACGAGTTCCTGCTTACTTGATTGCCAGGAGATAGTTCCGACGGGCTCGAGACGGTAGATGTAGCCGGTGCGAGAGCGACGATCGACACGATCAGCAGCATGATCAGCGTCGACGTAGCCGAGTAGTTTTAGGTCGGTCGTCGTGTTCTTGTGATACGTTAAGCCAACTGTTGGCGTCGAGATGAAGTAGAGAAGGGCACGGTTGAGTTCCTTGAGGTGACGTTGTTCTGGGCGCTTGAGGTAGGTCGCTAGTTGACTGGCGCTGTAGGATAAGTCCGGTCGGCACGTAACGGCGGCAAAGAATAGGCAGCCCAGTTTCTGTTGATATTCCTGGATTCCAGCAGACGGCAGTGGGTTGGTTTCTTCGGTTGGATCGAGCGATAGGTGACTGTAGGGTGTTGCGACGTGCGTCGGTGTGATGCAGAAGCGTTCGGCGATAGTGCTTGCGTATTTTGAGGCGCTGAGACGAATGGCGTTGTCTTCGTCGAGGATGTTGAGCCCTAGGTACTGCGTGACGTTGGGTGAGACTGTGAGGGAGAGATCTGTCTGAAGCTCCCTTTCGAACCAGGTGACGATGGTGGTAGTTGACCCGATGTAAAGCAAATCGTCGACGTAGACGATTAGCAGAACGTAGTCGTTGTCGCGAGTGAGACGATACATGCCCTGGTCATGGGGCAATTGGTTGAATCCGATGCGTTTAAGTCGTGCGTGCAGGTACTACTGCCAGAGTCGCGGTGCCTGCTTAATTCCGTATAGTGATTTAAGTAGTTGGCAGACGAGGGAAGGGTCGTCGACGAACCCGTGGGGCTGTTCGACGAAGATTTCAGCGTCGACTGGGGCGTACAGAAAGTCGTTGGCGACGTCGATTTGTCGGAGTGGGCGGCGACGTGAGGTGGCGATGGCGAGGAGTATGCGCAGGGAAGTATGTCGACTGACTGGTGCGAAAGTTTCAGTGAAATCGCGACCATACTCTTGGTCGAATCCGCGGACGACCCATCGAGCTTTAAACCGTTCGATGGTTCCGTCGGAGTTGGTTTTGATCCGGAATACCCATTTTCCGGAGAGAATGGGTTTGTCTTGTGCGAGTGATGCAGGGACGATCTTCCAGGTGTTGCGGTCTGAAAGCGCTTTTAACTCCTTTTCCATGGCTTCGCGCCATTTTTCTTTGTGTTCCCCCCCCAGAGCCTGCTTGACAGAGCGAGGCTCTTCAGGTGGCGACGAAGGCCCGTGCACTGCAGCGACGAGTCCCAGGACTTGGAGTCCGCTGGGGGTGTGACGGTTCAGCAAGGGGTCCTCGGGATAGACTGCTTCGTCTCCCGCTTCAGGATCAGGTGCGAATCCGGGGCCGTATCGTTCAGAGATGTCGGTGTTGACGGGTTAGGGTGTTACGTAACCATTGTCGGCGAAATGGTAGTAGGCATCGGCATTGTTACTGTCGCGAGGATTTTCCTCGTCCATGGGGATTGGGACGGAGCAGTAGGGAAGGGGTCCAGCAGCTTCGGAGGCGCCGTCGACGTTTTCTTCTTCCTAGTCAGCAGCGTCGGAGGGTGAAGCGAAGGCTCGGGAACCAGAAAATCCGCCGGTGGGGTCGACGTGGCGTGCGATGTTGTCCAGGTAATGGTTGAGGGTGAGTCGCTCGTAGAAGATAACGTCACGTGCTGCTACTGTTTCCTTTGTGTGGACGTCGAAGATTCGCCAGGCTTCGTAATGTTTTGCCAGCCCGAGGTGTAGACCCTGCTGTGCACGTTGCGAGAATCTCCCTGCGCGTGCGGTGTGTGGGCGGTACTGTACCATACACCCAAAAACTCGTAACATTTTTGTGTTGCCCAGCTTCCCAGTCCACAACAGGTGCGGAGATGCGTTGTTGGGCAGTGAAGACGAGGACAACAAGTTGTGCAGGAGGACAGCGTGGTCCATCGCTGCTGGCCATTCTGAGTTGGGCAGTCGAGTTCCACGTAGCAGCTTTCGCATGGTTGTCTGCAGGGTCCTGTTCGTCCTTTCTGCCACACCCTACTGTTGGTGAGCGTAAGGAAGGGAGATGAGGCGTTTGATGCCTCTTTCTGCCAAGAACTGTGTGAAGTTGTTTGACTGGTACTCCTTTGCGCCATCTGACTGAAAACTGTTCAGTTTCGCTCCCGACTCTCTTTCAGCGACAGGTAGCCAGGCTGTGAAGGCTTCTAGAGCCATGTCTCGTGACGGTAAGTTGACGTGCCAGACATATCGCGTTGCGGCGTCGATGAAGGTGATGACGTAGTTCAGATCTTCACGTCCTTCAGTTCGAGGTATGTATAGTATGTGGCTGTAGACTTTCTCGAGTGGTTGATAAACGGGGGCGCTCGGATTGTGGTGTGATGGGAACGGTTGGTGAGGCAGATCTGCTTCCGGGCAGATGAAGCAGGTGCCGCGTGGTCGTTCGAGTTCACGTCCGTTGGGAAGAAGTAGGGCGTTCTTGTCTAACACTCCGGCTCGTATTGAATTGTAGAGTGTTGTGTTTCCAGGATGTCCAAGACGTTGATGCCAGATGTCTTCGGAGGCGCTGTGACCGACGGAGCGTTGATAGAAGTCTGCGTTAGCGAAGAAGGCGGCGTGTGTTGCTGCACTTCGATGAACGGCGCGTGGTGCTGGCGTTAACTGTTGGGCGGCTGTCGGTGGCGTGTCGATGATGAGAGGTGGAGGTGCGACGGAGGGACCGGGCTGTGGAGTTTCGGAAGGTTGTTCCGTGACGACGGTTGGTTCTTCAACTGCAGGTTCGGTGGTTGTTGGTGTTGTGACGGGTGCAGTTGTTGTTTCGATGACGGGTGCTGACTCAGGTGTTGTTGCTTGTGTTTGCAGGACGGCAAGCGCGTTGGTGCGTTCAGCTTCGGGAATGGTACGAGAGTACCAGAAGCCTTCAGGACTGAAGTTCGGGTCGAGGTCTGGCGGATGCGTCCAAGGTGCGAGAGCGACTATGCCGTCGCTGTCTGCGGTGCCTTTGTCAGGGACGAAATCGAGGACGAACACGTCATCTTGTTGGATTGCGCGGCTGATGAAGACCCCCCCTTTTCCGTGGTAAAGACGGATTTCCAGGGCGTCGGAGTCACACTCCAGGTGAACGCCTTTCGACATGAGTTGGCTGACGCTCAGTAAGTTGAAGCCGAGGTTGTTGACGACGAGTACTTTGTTTAGTTGAAGAATAACGTTTGTTTCGTTTGACTGAAGCTCCACGACTCCTTGTTTGTTGGTGCGCAGGTTTTCGTTGTTGGCGATGGTGATGATGACGTCTCGCGGAAGACGTCGTTCGCGCTGAAGAAATCGTGATGAAGAGCACATGTGATGACCGCAACAGCTGTCGAGGAACCATGTGTCTGGTCCGGTGGGTGCACTGTTCGCGATGGCGGCGTACGTTGGATTCACGTTAAGGGACGACGGTGGTGGTGACGGTTGCTCATCAGGACTGTAAGTCGGTGGAGAGCCGGTAATGCACGA